TGTTCCTACCACTTCCTCTCTGTGGCTAGGCACCTGGTCAGGACCCAGGGCCCAGCTCTGGATAAAGTCAAAAAGCACTATCAATGAATCTTGCAGCTGTGAGCAGTGTGCGATTAGAGGAGGGATTAGAAGAGGTAAGAGGCAGAGGCACTTGCCTCTGCCTTATTTCTCCTTGTAGGAGGTTCTAAGGTACTCCCTGGGGAGTCCTCCCTGGGGAATGCTCCCTAGGAGTTTCTAGGGCTGAAGCAATCCAAAGGAGAGTCACTTTTGCTCCCCAGGGCTGCATCGTAATTATGGTTTTCACATTACATTAGTAGGGAAGATGCAGAGATAAAGTCGGTGAGCTGGCCTATGTAAGGAAAGGGCTTGGGAAGATCTCAAACCGACCTTGACGCCTTTGGAGGAGCAGCCAGATGGACTAAAATATTGCTATTCCTAATGTAGTCTCAAGGCAAAGAGGCACCATTCTGGAGCTCATTAAAGTACAGACTCTCCTGAGCCCGGCCTTGGCTGCTTAAACACAGACCTGCTTTTGTTTTGTTTTGTGGTGCTGGGCCACAGCACTCAGAACATTGTAACATTGTGAATACTGGGCCAACCCTCTACTACTGAGCTCCATCTACAGCCCCTGGTACTATATTTCAACAAGACCTCCAGGTTGCCTGACCATCAATAGCCTGCACCAGGCATTTCCACATTTCCGGGTTTTGTGAGACTGGAAATCAGAGCGTTTTGCTGTCATTTTTGAAACAGAGTCTCAAACTATATCCCAGGCTGGCCTGAAACTCATGTCAACTGGCCTGCCCCAGCTTTCTGAGAACTGAGGTGTCCCAACTTGAAGGTTTTCTTGATAACCTTCAGGAGGAAGGTGCGATGAGAGAGCACTTAAGACACAAAAATGCTAAGAAATTGTATAAGCGGTGTTTGGCTGCTGTAGGAGCCATAGGGCAGGAGCTGGCCTGGAGGCTCCTGACCTTTGATTGGCTCCAGTTCCTGGCACCGTTGGGCCCTGAGATGGTAAGTTCCTGGCAGACTAGGCTCCCAGGCAACAGTTTGAGTAATCCTGTGATTACTCAGCTCCCCCTCCCCAAACTGGGTTCCCATGGCCTGCTGTTCAGGTACTGGCTCACCCTGTAAGTCTTCAAGGTTGGCTGTGGAAGGCCCTGTTTTCTCTCTCTCTCTCTCTCTCTCTCTCTCTCTCTCCACACACACACACACACCCACACACCACACAACACAC